CCATCGACGGCTCGCTCTCCTGATGGCTGCCGCTTGATGGCGCGTCTCGAAGTAGGACAGCGCCAGCCTCCAGCTCTGCTCCCCTCCAGTGTGTGTTGACTGACTGTTCTGGGTCTTCTACCTTTTGCCTTTCTGCTCTTCTGCCTGATAAAACCTTTATGATCAGCCTGCTTGCTGCATCCACAGGTAGCTTGCTGAGATTTGACTGAGAGAGCTTTACCTCTAGAGACCAAGTGGGGAAAAACTGACATCTCAGTAATGTTGAGTCTTCCTGTCCAAGAACATCGCTATGGGTTGAATTTGGTTCCCCTCAACCACGCTGAAGCCCGTACCCCCAGTACCTGTGAATGCAAGCTTATTTGGAAACAGAGTTTTGCAGCTGTAATCAGTGGGGATGAGGTCATACTGGGTCCGGGCGGACTCTAGATCCAATGTGACTGGTGTCCTTCAAAAAGACCAGCAATTTCAGCGGAGACAGAGACACACGGGGAAGGAGGCCACGTGAGACAGAGGCGGCGGCCGGAAGGCGGCAGCTGAAGGCCCCCCCACCGCCCCGCGCTGCGGAGAAACAGGGAAGCGCTTTGCCCTTCCCTAGAGCTTTCCGAGGGACCGCAGCCGGGCCAAAGCCTTAACTTTGAACTTCTAGACTCCAGAACTGTAAGAGAAAAGGGAAACTGTCGTTTTACTCATCCAGTTTGTAGCAGTTTGTTACAGTGGCCCTAAAGCCTAATTCAAACACGGAACAGCTGCTCCTGTTGTTTAGCGCTTCTGCGACTTCTTCCGCCAGCTTTGTGGTTTCCCCATAGTGATCTCGTACGTATTTCACTAGATTTACACCTAAGCATTTAACCTTTTCATGTTAATATAAATACTGTTGTGTTTCTCATTTCAGATTCCAGTTGTTCATTGCTGATAATAGGAAAGCAATTGACTTCTGCGTATTAATCTTGTATCCTGTGAGGTTTCTGTAATTGTTTATTAGTTCCAGGAGAACTTTACTGCTTCTTTCAGATATTTTATACATGTCATGTATACAATGAGAGTCTTATTTCTTCCTTTCCAATCTGTGTGCTTTGTATTTCCTTTCCTTGTGCTACCACGTTGGGAGGCTCCTCCAATATGCTGTCGACGGAACGGGGGACGTGGCATCTTGCCCTTGCTCCTGACCTTGGGGAAAAGCGTTTAGTTTCTCGCCACTAAGGTTCACGTTAGCTGGAGGCTCCTGTGGGTATCTTTAACAACCTCAGCCCCATCTGCTCCTAGTTTGCTAAGGCTTTTTTTTTAAATTGTGAGTGGATATTGGATTTTCTGATACTTGTCAGAATTATCAGGATCATCAGAAACAAGGGAAGGCTGAGAAACCATCACAGCTCAGGGGAGCCCAAGGAGATGTGATGGCTGAACAGGATGTGGGACCCCGGATACAAATCCTGGGCCAGAAGAAGGGCATTAGTAAAAACCACGGAGCCCTGAGTGAAGAGGACCTCAGGGAGTCACAGTTCATCAGTGCTGGTCCATTAATTACAAGTGAGCCACACTGATGCAGGAAGGTGACTCAGAGGAAACTCGGAGCAGGGGCTGCGGTAACTCTCTGCACTTGGCAATTTTTCTGAAAATCCAACACTGTTCTAAAATCAAAAGTTTGTTGTAAGAAATAAACGCGTCAACCACAGCCACGTCTCTTAGTGATAAACTCGGAAACCAGCGAGGAGCCCGCAGAGCAGCCACGCACGGCGTGTCGCAGGCTCGGCCTGGCGGGTCCAGGGCTGCATCAGGACACAGCGCACCTCCAGACAACTCCACCGTGCGATGCCGCTGAGCCCCTCCCGACCCCAAAACAGCACCGACTGTCATAACCATACCCCATGTCCTCCCCGGAAGTCCGAGCCTCGTCACAGATCTGAAAATCAAACCAGGAAACTCTTGAGACAGACCGTCTCCTCTGTGTGTCCAGCCTAACATAGACCCGCTCAGACAAGGCTTTTTTGTTGAAGAAACAGGTAAGTGTCAGTTGCTATTTAAGTAGGGTGCTGACTGCCGGATCTCTAGGACTTCGTCAGTTGCACGGAGAGCCCATGTGCTGTGTTTCCAGCTTAGGCTGTGGAAGTGGAGCAAACCTAACGTGAGTCACTCGGCAGGGGGCGGGGGGCTGTCCTCCTTCTCCGTGCAAAGCTCAAGTGGCCACCCAGAAGATTTAGAAATTTTCAAAACAGCACCTCAGCATCACCCCTTCAAACCTCCTGCTGTAGTAAAGGTACATCCGCACTTCATACGTTTTGTGCTGATTAAATCTGTAACCTTGGAAATCATTATTAAGATGTAGAGAGACGGTGTCAAGTGAGTTTCATGTCACTGATTACAACAGGACTACAAACATTTAGGTTTTAGAATTGTGTGACATTGTTAAGCAGACAGTAGGGTTGTGATCATCTCCTGAAGGTTTCTTCAAATTTGGCACAAAAAGCCAACAATCGGTCAACACTCCAGACACCTTTGGATATCATCAGCTTAAAATGTTTAACTTTGCAGCTTCAGACAAACATCTCAACAAGTCTGTAAGTTTCATATAGTCCATATTTAATTTCTGCTGCAGCAGGGCCATCTGATGAGAAGTGAAAATTAAATGTGGGGTTAAACATTAAGAAACAAATCACAACATGAAAAGCCAGCGGCCGTGGGGCTGGCGCTGACCACCTGAACAGGGAAAGAGATGTCTGGCCCGGTGCGAGACGGCTCCCCTTTGGGACACCTGAACAAACGCAGCACATTCTCTGACTACTCGGGTTGGAAAGGTCTTTGCTGGATGGGTCCTGGAGCAGCTGCCCTAGGTCCAGAGCATCAGCGCTTGGGCTCTGCTGCATGGATCCGGGCCTATAGGAGTGGGAACGTGGGCCGTGGTGCTTCAGGGGCAAGAGTAAGTTCCAGGACCAACGTGCAGATAGTCACCGGGCAGTGTCTACTATGTGCAAAGTACTTGACCTGGTGCTGTGGGGAAAAAGGGGAGGCGGCTTAAGCTGCTATAATCCCCAAGGAAGTTTACAATCTGCTTTTAAAATTGAGCTATTTTACTGTGCAAACGTTTGTGCCTGGCTGGAGGGTTTGTTTTTGGCAGGGAGCCGGGGAGGGGCCTGGAAAAGGGTGGGACTTTGGAGGGTAGGAGTGGACCAGCCAAACCCCCTAGGCCAGGGCACGGCACACATGAAGGAAGCAAGTGTGTCTCATGGAAAAGTCTGAAGCAGGGTTTCTCTCCCCCCACCCTTACCTTCAAGGCATTCCAGGGGCCGCCTCAAAATGCTCTCAGCCTATCTGACTCAGGGTCAATTCTTGGAGAACCTTCTTCTCAAATAAAATATTTCAGAAGGTGGATTTTTATAAAGTCTTGCTTTATTCTCCACGACCTTGAAGACAAATCTTAAGCACCACTAATCCTTTGCCTTGGAGAACAGGCCGAAATCCGCAGCATCCGGTTTAGGAGGGGACATTTAATTGCCAAACAATTATGTGGAATAAGCAAGACACACATCTCTCGTGTGTTGTAGGACAGGTTTGAACCTGAAAAGCCGTAAATGGCTCCAAACACTCCCACCCCGCGGGTCCCTGCAGCCCCTGCCTCGGGCGGCCCTGGGTGCTGGGAGCCTGGGAGGGAGAGGAGGCCGCCGGCTGGGTCTTCACCAGGAGCGCGGGCCCCGCTCTGCCTTCCCCGGAGGAGGTGACTAACAAAACAACCCCTTTAACTCAAATAAGCGGTCATTAATTAATAAAGGTCCACAGCCTCCGTGCCTGCAGGCTGCTCCCTAAGAGGGCCTTGCGCGGCCGTCAGAAGGTGGAAGTCTCCAGGAA